CATTTTGGAAAACTCTGTTTGTATTTAGTAGTAATTCATCTTAAATATAACTTATTTCAGGGCTTTGTAGATATTTCCTCAGACAACCTCAACACAGTGTAATTTGCAATCTTTGATATTCATTATTATTATTAATTATAAGAAGCACCATCTGATACTATAGTATTATATTTGTCTGCAGGATTTCTCACTTATTTTCATTATCAAAATCATTTATCATTTTTCCATCTATCTCATTTTCAGCAAAAAAATATTTTCTATAAGGAAGTATTTTGTGCTTCACTTTATTTTAAAAATCCTTTCTGCAGTTTCAATTCTCAGTTCTCTCCAAGTTGTCCGGAATTGAATGGCATGCATCTCCTTAGAATCCTGAAGTTGGGAAGGGCCACGGAGGCTGTGAGATCCAACCCCTGATCTTTTGCAGGAGTCCAAAGTAAACCTTCCATGGCAGGGGGCTGTCCTGCCTCTGCTTGAACCCATCTTACAAAGGGGATCCCACCTTTCTGGGTACCTGGAAGGTCTCAGCAGATCAACCATGATCTGTCTCAGTGCAGCACTGAGCACTGGGGAGAGGTTTATCTGGGTGGACTGACTGCTTTACTTTGCAAACAGGAACTTCTACATTTGCAACAGAAGTGAAGCAAAGTAGGAAGATCCTCCATAGTTTAGGAGCTGGGTGCTGCTTCGCAACATCATATTTATCCTTGCAGGAGGGATTGTTCCCAAAGCCTTTTAAGGAGGTGTTGGCCAACCCCCCTCCTCTAGAAACCATTGTTAGATCCCACCCTTCTGGACAATTTTTGTCCAGTTTCCCACCTTCCCTGTTTAGGAAAGGTGGTGGAAAAGGTAGTCGCGCAGTAGCTTCAGAGGATCCTGGAGGAAACGGATTATCTGGACCCCTATCAGTCAGATTTCAGGCCCAGTTATGGGGCAGAAACAGCACTGGTCACACTTTTGGATGATCTCTGGCGAGAGTGGGATGGGGGTAGTTCATCCATTCTTGCTCTTCTTGACCTCTCAGCGGTTTTCGATACCATCGACCATGGTATCCTTTTGGGTTGGCTGCAGGAGTTGGGGCTGGGTGGC